TGGGAGTTGTAGGCCAAAACACCTGGGGACCCACAGGTTGAGACCCACTGAGTTAAGGGGTGTCTTGCAATATCCCTTCTGTACCCCGAATTTATTAATATGGGTCTAAGATAGCTAGATTACCAACACCCTCTGTGACTTACAGTGGATAATATGCAGGTGACAGCCCTTGGAATACACAGTAAGAAGGTAATAACTTCCCCAACAATTGGTCACCAAGATTTACAGGACAGCTCAAGCAGAAAGACTGCTGAACTGGAAGAAAGTATTCCTGCAGGTGTAATCACTTCTGGGACTGCGATACAAGTCACAGCAGCATTGTTCTCAAAAAGACAGGTCTAAGTGAGGGAGGCAGCCAGCACCAAGAGTGTGGGGCCCTTTCAAAATGCCAGAAGTTATGAAATACAGAACGGCTGGTTTAATTAAAACTTAGCTAGACACAACAACAAGACATTCTTGCAAAATTGTCTTAATATTCGTTGCAAGACCAGGCACAGATCTTCCATTTGGCACTTTGTCAAAGTTTGTGCAAACAGAACATTTCATGAGCCAAAACTCAAAGGAACAATCATCCATAGGGCAAATTATCCTATATTTTTGAAGTCACACAAAATGTGTTTCAAACTTTAAAAATATTATTTAAAATTGATTTAAAACACTTATATTTCACTCTTCTCACCCCTCAGGGGACTCAGGGCAGAGCACAACATATATGAAAGACTTTCTGATTTTTATTTATTTATTTATTTTTCATCTACAAAAAAATCAGGTTAAACCACTGAGCTGTTGAACTTGCTGACTGAAAGGCTGGAGGTTCAAATTTGGGGAGTGGAGTAAGCTACCACTATTAGGCCCAGCTTCTGCCAACCTAATGTGAGTAGATCAGTAGGTACCGCTTGGGCAGGAAGGTTATGGCGCTCCACAAAGTCATACTGGCCACATGACTATGGAGGCATCTATGGACAACTCCAGCTCTTCAACTTAGAAATGGAGATGAGCATCAAGCCCCAGAGTCTGACACAACTAGACTTCATGTCAAGGGGAAACATTCACATTTACAAAAAAATAATGGTGCCATTAGATATGAACTCTGCATGCACGGGACAAGCCAACTAAAGCACCTGACATGGCTACAAAAAGATAACTAAACAATGCATAAATCATAAGATGAGCACCTCTACATGCTGGCTTCTATTACAACTGATTTGTCACAAAAGGATAAAAAAAGGAGCTTTATATGTGAAACTTGTCCATGTAGAGTACATTATCCAAGGTATAAGGACAATTTTATACAGTCAGCAGGTATTGGAGTACAAACTTTCACTGGACTACTATACTTTGGGCTCCACATTCAACCCTGCCCTGCAAAGAAATTCTTCTACAAGAAGAAATGATAACCAAAAGAAAAATAAGACTTCTCCATTCACCGTTTTGTGCTCTAGCATTTCAACAAGCAACTTCCATTAAACTATCCAGGCGGTTTTGAACCTATAATCTGCTGGGATTCTAAATAAAAACATATAGAATCACAGAGTGCGAAGAGACGTCGTGGGCCATACAGTCCAACTGCATTCTGCCAAGAAGCAGAAAAATCGCATTCAAAGCACCCAAGACAGATGGCCATCCAGCCTCTGCTTAAAAGCCTCCAAAGAAGGAGCCTCCACCACACTCCAGGACAGAGAGAGAGTTACACTGCTGAACAACTCACTCACACAGTTAGGAAGTTCTTCCTCATTCAGGTGGAATCTCTTTTCCTGTAGTTTGAAGCCATTGTTCCGTGTCCTAGTCTCCAGAGTAGCAGAAAATAAGCCTGCTCCTTCCTCCCTATGACTTCCCCTCACCTCTTGATCCCTGGCCCTCATCCTGTCTTCTTTCACCCTTCTCTTCTGCAGGCTAAACATGCCCAGCTCTTGAAGCTGCTCCTCATAAGGCTTGTTCTCCAGACCCTTGATCATTTGAGTCACCCTCTTTCTCTGGACACATTCCAGCTTAGAGTCAACATCTCCCTTCAATTGCGGTACCTAGAATTGGACACTATTCCAGGTGTGGTCTGGCTCCCCCTCTATTCTGGCTCCCAGAATAGAGGGGGAGCCATTTAGGCTACCTTGGCAGCCACCTCTCCACAAAAGTCAACATTGACACTGAAATACAACACCGCCTGAGCTCTGCGAGTGCATTTTTCTGAATGAAGCAGAGAGTGTTTGAGGACCGGTACATCCGTAGGGATACCAAGGTTCTTGTTTATAAAGCTATTGTCCTCCCAACCATGCTCTACGTTTGCGAAACGTGGACTGTCTACAGACATCACATGCAATTCCTAGAACGATTCCATCAGCGTTGCCTCCGAAAAATACCCCAAATCTCTTGGGAATCCAAGTGGACAAATGTCAGTGTCCTGAAAGAAGGAAAGACCACCAGCATTGGAGCAATGGTCCTCCGCCATCAACTATGCCGGACTGGCCACGTTGTTCGGATGCCCAACCACCATCTCCCAAAGCAGTTGCTCTACTCCGAACTCAAGAATGGAAAACGTAATATTGGTGGGCAGGAAAAGAGATTTAAAGATGGGTTCAAAGCCAACCTTAAAAACTGTGGCATAGACACTGAGAACTGGGAAGCCCTGGCCCTTGAGCGCTCCAGCTGGAGGTCAGCTGTGACCAGCAGTGCTGTAGAATTTGAAGAGGCACAAATGGAGGTTGAAAGAGAGAAATGTGCCAAGAGGAAGGCATGTCAAGCCAACCCTGACCGGGACCACCTTCCACCTAGAAACCAATGCTCTCTCTGCAGGAAAACATGCAGATCAAGAATAGGGCTCCACAGTCACCTATGGACCGACCGCCAGTACACCGACCTTGGGGGACAATCCTACTCGGATGACGAGGGATCGCATAAGTCAGTGGTTCTCAACCTTCCTAATGCCATGACCTTCCTCATGTTTTGGTCACCCCCAACCATAAAATTATTTTTGTTGCTACTTCATAACTGTCATTTTGCTGCTGTTGTGAATCGTAATGTAAATATCTGGTATGCAGGATGTACGTTCATTCACTGGACCAAATTTGGCACAAATACCCAATACGTCCAAGTTTGAATACTGGTGGGGTTGGTTGATTTTATCCCGTGGGGGTTGTAGTTGCTGGGATTTATAGTTCACCTACAATCAAAGAGCATTCTGAACTCCACCCACTATGGAATTGAACCAGACTTGGCACACAGAACTCCCATGACCAACAGAAAATACTGGAAGTGTTTGGTGGCATTGACCTTGAGTTCTGGAGTTGTAGTTCACTTACATCCAGAGAGCACTGTGGACTCAAACAATGATAGATCTGGACCAAACATGGCACAAATTCTCAGTATGCCCAAATGAGAACACTGGTGGAGTTTGGGGGAAACAGAACTTGACATTTGGGAGTTGTTGTTGCTGGGATTTATAGTTCACCTACCATCAAAGAGCATTCTGAACCCTACCAATGATTGAATTGGGCCAAACTGCCCACACAGAACCCCCATGACCAACAGAAAATACTGTTTTCTGATGGTCTTTGGCGACCCCTCTGACACCCCCTCATGATCCCTCCAGGGGTCCCGACCCCCAGGTTGAGAAACACTAGCCTAAGTTAAGTTAAGAGGGGGAGCACTTAGATTTAAGAATGTATGTGATGAAATCATTAGTTTATAAATCCAGCTGTTCATCTATATATATAAAAATGCTCTGTGCATAATGAGTACCTTAAAAACAAAAGAACCAATGAACGAAATCACACCAAATTTGGCAACAAAAGTCTCACAACATAAGGAGTGACCATCACTCAAAGAATTATGATTTTGTCATAAGGGAGTTGTAGTTGCTGGGATTTATAGTTCACCTATAATCAAAGAGCATCCTGAACTCCACCAACGATAGAATTGAACCAAACATGGCACACAGGACCCTCCTGACCAACAGAAAATACTAGAAGGGTTTGGTGGGCATTGACTTGAGTTTGGGAGTTATAGTTCACCTACATCCAGAGAGCACTGTGGACTCAAACAATGATGGATCTGGACCAAACTTGGCACAAATATTCCATATGCACAAATATGAACACAGATGGAGTTTGGGGGGAAATAGACCGTGACCAACAGAAAATACTTAAGGCCATCTAGTCCAACTCCCTTCACCAGGGCAAGAAAACATCATCAAAGCCCTCCTGACAGAGCGCCATCCAGCCATACATATAGATAGATATATATGATTCACACACACACACAGATAAAGTATTATAGATTTGAAAGGGACTCCTAAAGATGGACAATAATATGTTGCATGTTCCAGAGTAGGCAAACTAGAGAATCTCTACGGCAACACTGTCAAAGAAACATCAAGAAATATTGTTTACCCACAAGCATCAAGACATTACATATATTAGAAACCAGCACTTTCTAATTACTTTATTTTCCATATCACCAGACTGGGCCACAGTAACGCGTGGCAGGGGACCTCTAGTGTTTTATATAAATGAGAAAGAAGCTCTGGTAACAATTAGTGAAAATAGACACACCAAATGGAAAGACAAATATCATTTCTGTCTCAATATGAATGATCAAAAAATCAACCCCTCTCTGGTTTGCTGCATCACTATTTCAGATGACTCCCTATTATTGGCCATCCCTATGGAAACTAAACAAATCTGAGTTCAAATACAGTATTTTAAAGAGACATGATCAGTCATCCCACAAAGCAGAGAAAGTCACAGGGGGAATGATGTCAAGCTGCTAACGGAGAAAGCCCAGGAAATTCAGCAGGCCTGGTGGGGTTAGCGGGCTGCCTGATGAGGACTGCTGTTCCCTAACAAAAAGGAACATTTAAAAATAGCTTTGAATTCCTGAAACCATTCCCATGCACAGGGCAAATATGCAATTTACTCCCACCCGCACCTCCCCTTGTCCTTCCAGCAGCCAGAGAAGCACCAAAGCAACAACAAGGGCCACACCTTCCCCTCACGGTTGCAACTTACCAAGTTTTTCCACCAATTTCAGCATGACACCACCGATGTGGACTTCCCCGGTGACCCTCAGAGTTACATCCCTGTTCATGTCTGTGACATGGACGTTGAGCTCCCACGTCCCGTCCGCGTAGCAGCCATCTGGCATCCGAATACCGTCCAGAGCCATCGTTGCTCCTTCCTGCAAGCAAGGAGCAGAGGAAATGGCATTCATCCGCTAAGCAGAAGCTACACGCTCACAGTGCGCAAGCCCTTCCCCTTGCTTCCCAACTGAGGGAGTGAAGAAAATCACAGTGGTTTGGTTTGGGGGGGGGGGGATGGGGGCAGGAAAAAGGAGCAGGCGGCAGGAAGAAGCAAAATCCAGGGAGGGCAAACAAGCTTGCTAAAATCAACTGGCAAAGAAGACATAGTAAGGCCGAGAGTTCCCAACTCAGCTCAGTTTACAAAGAACTTTGTGAGGCCGTTAATGGGGGAGGGCAGCGCCGGACTGCAAATTTCCAGCTGCCCAAGAACAACAAGTACTACGCAGGCCTGAAGGGAATGCAAGCTGAAACCTTATTTAGCCCCAGCTCGGCCTAAGATATTTTGCAAAGAAGCTATGGCTGGTGCTCCCACTTCACGTGTTCTTACAGCACGAGAATACGTTTCTCTCTTTCTCACAAACGGACACATACACCTTCCATGCTATCACTTTTCATCTGGGCACTCGAGACATGACACACCTCCTATTGTGTGACTGTGTTCCAGTCATCTGTCAAATAATGGCAGGGCCATGCATCTCATACAGTTTTCTAAGGCTAGGAATATTCGGTAGTGATGTAACCCGTTACTTTTAAAGCTATAGATATTGTGTATATGCCTTCAAGTTGTCTGTCAATTTATGGTAACTCTGTGAATTCCATAGGTTTTTCTTCTTGTTGTTGTTCATTCGTTCAGTCGTCTCTGACTCTGTCTTCATACATTCCATATCTTAAAAGGGGGGAAAACCCCAAATAGGTTTCCCATCTTAGAGAGTGAAAGCAAAAGGAGAGGGTCCTAAAATGAATTGGGAGGAGAGAAAGTAAAGGGAAATGAGTTTGGCTTGTTGTAGGTTTTTTGGGCTATATGGCCACATTCTAGAAGCATTCTCTCCTGACGTTTCGCCTACATCTATGGCAAGAGGTTGTGAGGAGAGGGTCCTGAAATGAATCCCCTCAAAAACAATATTCCACAGTTTAGAAGGCGAGAAAATAAAGGAAAATTAGTTTGGGTTGTTGTAGGTTTCTTGGGCTATATGGCCACGTTCTAGAAGCATTCTCTCCTGACGTTTCGCCTACATCTATGGCAAGAGGTTGTAAGGAAATTAAGTTTTCCCAAGGAGAGGTTCCTAAAATGAATTGGAAGGAGAGAAAGTACAGGGAAATTAGCTTGAGTTGTTGTAGTTTTTTTGGGCTATATGGCCACGTTCTAGAAGCATTCTCTCCTGACGTTTTGCCTGCATCTATAGCAGGCAGGCATCCTCAGAATGAATTGGAAGGAGAGAAAGTACAGGGGAATTAGTTTGGGTTGTTGTAGGTTTTTTGGGCTATATGGCCATGTCCTAGAAGCATTCTCTCCTGACGTTTCACCTACATCTATTGCACGAGGTTGTGAGGAAATTAAGCTTTCCCAGCAGAGGAAGAAGAGTGAAAGCCAAAGGAGAGGGTCCTAAAATAAATCCCCCACAAATAATATTAACACAGTTTAGAAGGAGAGAAAATAAAGGGAAATTAGTTTGGGTTGCTGTAGGTTTTTCGGGCTATATGGCCACGTCCTAGAAGCATTCTCTCCTGATGTTTCACCTTCATCTATGGCAAGAGGTTGTGAGGAAATTAAGTTGTCCTAAAATGAATTGGAAGGAGAGAAAGTAAAGGGAAATTAGCTTGGGTTGTTGTAGGTTTTTTGGGTTGTATGGCCACGTTCTAGAAGCATTCCCTCCTGACGTTTCGCCTACATCTATGGCAAGAGGTTGTGAGAAAATTAAGTTTTCCCAGCAGAGGAAGAAGAGTGAACGCCAAAGGAGAGGGTCCTAAAATGAATTGGAAGGAGAGAAAGTAAAGGGAAATTAGTTTGGGTTGTTGTAGGTTTTTTGGACTATATGGCTACGTCCTAGAAGCATTCTCTCCTGACGTTTCGCCTACATCTATGGCAAGATGTTAAATCCCCCACAAATAATATTACACAGTTTAGAAGGAGAGAAAATAAAGGGAAATTAGTTTGGGTTGTTGTAGTTTTTTTGGGGCTATATATGGCCATGTCCTAGAAGCATTCTCTCCTGACGTTTTGCCTACATCTATGGCAAGATGTTAAATCCCCCACAAATAATATTAGACAGTTTAGAAGGAGAGAAAATAAAGGGAAATTAGTTTGGGTTGTTGTAGTTTTTTTGGGCTATATGGCTACATCCTAGAAGCATTCTCTCCTGACGTTTCGCCTACATCTATGGCAAGATGTTAAATCCCCCACAAATAATATTACACAGTTTAGAAGGAGAGAAAATAAAGGGAAATTAGTTTGGGTTGTTGTAGGTTTTTGGGGCTATATATGGCCACGTCCTAGAAGCATTCTCTCCTGACGTTTCGCCTACAACTATGGCAAGAGCTTGTGAGGAGAGGGTCCAGAAATGAATCCCCTCAGAAACAATATTCCACAGTTTAGAAGGAAGGAAATTAAAATAAAAGTGGGGGAAAACAATGGAGGGGGAAAAAAAAAACATATTCTTCACATCCAATTCCCAACCTAGCAAGGTCAATAACAAACTGATCCCACTCATTAAGGGGGGGGGGGGAGACTTCCATATTGTCGATATCATAAAAGGGGGGAAGACCCCAAATAGTTTTCCCATCTTAGAGGGTCCTAAAATGAATTGGAAGGAGAGAAAGTAAAGGGAAAGCAAATAGAGAGTGAAAGCAAAAGGAGAGGGTCCCAAAATGAATTGGAAGAAGGAGAGAAAGTCAAAGGAAGAGCAAAAGGAGGAGTGTATTGCTCTCATTTACACCCCATAGCAGGCCTGGCCCAACTTGGGCCTTCCCTCCAGGGAGTTGGAGTCCAAACCCCCTGGAGGGAAGGCCCAAGTTGGGCCAGGCCTGGAAGGCCTTCAACTTCACAGTAGGCCTCATTCCCCTCAGACACAAACACACAAATATATCTCCCTCTCCCGCTGCATTACCTCTTCTCGCTTCTCCCTCCAAGCGCTGAATGGAAGGAGAAGCAGGAGAAGAAGAAGGCGGGACCCTCCTCCCTCCCTCCCTTTCTTTCTTTCCTTCCCTCCCCTTCTTCTCCTCCTCCTTCTCCGCCTGAAAGGGAGGGATGAAAGGGAGGCGGGAGGGAGGGAAGCCTTTCAGGGGAGGGAACATCCGGGTCTCCGCGCCTTTCCTCAGAGGGGAGGGGGAGGAGGAGGAGGAGAGGAAGGAAAGAAAGGGCGGGAAAACTTCCCTGAGGGGAACACAAGCTTGGCCAGTCTCTGCTCTTCAGAGGCTGGGATAGATGGATGTGGGGAAGGGGGTCTAGGATGGATGGATAAGATAGACAGACAGACAGATAGATAGATACATACATGGGTAGGTAGGTAGGTAGGTAGGTAGGTAGGTAGGTAGGTAGGTAGAGATAGATAGATAGATAGATAGATAGATAGATAGATAGATAGATAGATAGATAGATAGATAGGTAGATAGGTAGATGGATAGGTAGATGGATAGGTAGATGGATAGGTAGATGGATGGATGGATAGATATATAGATAGATGGATGGATAGATAGATGGATAGGTGGATGGATGGATAAGTAGATGGATGGATGAATAGATAGATGGATGGATAGGTAGATGGATAGATAGATAGATGGATGGATAGATGGATCAATCGATAGATAGGTAGATGGATGGATAGGTAGATAGATAGATGGATGGATCGATAGATAGATAGATAGATAGATAGATAGATAGATAGATAGATGGATGGATAGGTAGGTAGGTAGGTAGATAGATAGATAGATGGATAGGTAGGTAGGTAGGTAGATAGATAGATAGATGGATAGGTAGATAGATGGATGGATGGATGGATGGATGGATGGATGGATGGATGGATGGATAGGTAGATGGATGGATCGATAGATAGATGGATGGATAGATAGATAGGTAGGTAGGTAGATAGATGGATGGATCGATAGACAGATAGATAGATGGATAGGTAGGTAGGTAGATAGATGGATAGATAGATGGATAGGTAGATGGATGGATCGATAGATAGATAGATAGATGGATGGATGGATGGATGGATAGGTAGATAGATGGATAGGTAGGTAGGTAGGTAGGTAGATAGATAGATAGATGGATGGATAGGTAGATAGATGGATAGATAGGTGGATGGGTAGATAGATAGATAGATGGATGGATAGGTAGATGGATGGATCGATAGATAGATAGATAGATGGATGGATAGGTAGGTAGATAGATAGATAGGTAGATAGATAGATAGATGGATAGGTAGGTAGATAGATAGATAGATGGATAGGTAGATAGATAGATGGATGGATAGGTAGATGGATGGATAGGTAGGTAGATAGATAGATAGAGGGATGGATAGGTAGGTAGATAGATGGATGGATGGATAGGTGGATGGATGGATCGATCGATAGATAGATGGATAGATAGGTAGGTAGGTAGATAGATGGATAGGTAGATAGATGGATGGATGGGTAGGTAGATAGATAGATAGATAGATAGATAGATGATGGATGGATGGATAGATAGATAGATAGATAGATAGATAGATAGATAGATAGATGAGTGAATTGGTGGATCGATAGAAGGGTAGCTTGGAGGATGGATGGATGGATAGGTAGATAGATGGTAGATAGTAGATGGTAGGTAGATAGATAGATAGTAGATAGATAGATAGATGGATAGATGGATGGATAGGTAGATGGATGGATCGATAGATAGATAGATAGATGGATGGATGGATGGATGGATGGATGGATAGGTAGGTAGATAGATAGATAGGTAGATAGATGGATAGGTAGGTAGGTAGGTAGGTAGATAGATAGATAGATGGATAGGTAGATGGATGGATGGATGGATGGATAGGTAGGTAGATAGATAGATGGATGGATGGATAGGTGGATGGATGGATGGATCGATAGATAGATGGATGGATAGGTAGATAGGTAGGTAGGTAGATAGATGGATAGGTAGATAGATGGATGGATGGGTAGATAGATAGATAGATAGATAGATAGATGGATGGATAGGTAGATGGATGGATCGATAGATAGATAGATAGATAGATGGATAGGTAGATGGATGGATCGATAGATAGATAGATGGATGGATAGGTAGATAGATAGATAGATGGATGGATGGATAGGTGGATGGATGGATGGATCGATAGATAGATAGATGGATGGATAGGTAGATAGGTAGGTAGGTAGATGGATAGGTAGATAGATGGATGGATGGATGGATGGGTAGATAGATAGATAGATGGATGGCTGGATGGATGGATAGGTAGATGGATGGATGGATCGATAGATAGATAGATGGATGGATGGATCGATAGGTAGATGGATGGATCGATAGGTAGATGGATGGATCGATAGATAGATGGATGGATAGGTAGATAGATGGATGGATGGATAGGTAGGTAGATAGATAGATAGATGGATGGATGGATAGGTAGATGGCTAAGAAACTTGAAGCCTACATGACTTGAAGACTTTGAAAAACCATAGTCAAAATCTTGCTGGTGAGATAGATAGATAGATGGATAGATAGATAGATAGATAGATAGATAGATAGATAGATAGATAGATAGATGGATAGGTAGATAGATGGATGGATGGATGGATAGGTAGATGGATACATAGATAGATGGATAGGTAGATAGATGGATGGATAGGTAGATGGATACATAGATAGATGGATAGATAGATAGATAGATAGATAGATAGATAGATAGATAGATGTGTGGAAAGAGCCTAGGATAGATGGGTGAATAGATAAATAGATACAGTAGGTAGGTAGATAGATAAATAGATGTAGAGATACATAGATACGGTAGATGGATAGATAGATAGATATCGGTGTGGAAGGCGCCTATAGATAGACACGGTAGATAGATAAATAGATATCTGTGTGGAAGGAGCCTAGGATAGATAGATGGATGGATGGATAGATAGATATGGTAGGTAGGTAGGGAGATACATAAATGTAGAGATAGATAGGGTAGATGGATGGATGGACAGATAGATATCTGTGTGGAAGGGGTCTGGGATGGATAGATGGATGGAGAGATAGATAGATGCAGTAGATAGATAGATATCTGTGTGGAAGGAGCCTAAGACTTATGGATGGATGGATGGACAGATAGATATGGTAGGTAGGTAGGTAGAGAAATAGATGTAGAGATAGATAGATAGATACGGGAGTCCCCTCTGGGGTGAGAAGGGCGGGGTAGAAGTAACTGAAATAAATAGATAGATGGATGGATAGATAGATATCTGTGTGGAAGGAGCCTAGGATAGATGGATGGATAGATAGATACGGTAGGTAGGTAGATAGATAGATGTAGAGATTGATACGGTAGGTAGATGGATAGATATGGTAGGTAGGTAGATAGATAAATAGATTTAGAGATAGATACGATAGATAGATAGATGGATGGATAGATAGATAGATAGATAGATAGATAGATAGATAGATAGATAGATAGATTAGGTAGGTAGGTAGGTAGGTAGGTAGGTAAATAGATGTAGAGATAGATATGGTAGGTAGATGGATGGATGGATGGATGGATAGATAGATAGATATCTGTGTGGAAGGAGCCTAGGATAGATGGATGGATGGATAGATACGGTAGGTAGGTAGGTGTAGAGATACGGTAGATAGATGGATGGATAGATAGATAGATATCTGTGTGGAAGGGGCCTAGGATGGATAGATAGATGGAGAGATAGATAGACGCAGTAGATCGATCGATAGATAGATAGTTATCTGTGTGGAAGGGGCCTAGAATAGATGGATGGATAAATACAGTAAGTAGGTAGATAGGTAGGTAGATGTAGAGATAGATATGGTAGGTAGATAGATAGATGGATATCCTAGGGAAGAACCCTAGGATGGATGGATGGATGGATGGATGGATGGATGGATGGATAGATAGATGGATAGATAGATAGATAGATAGATAGATAGATAGATAGATAGATAGATACAGTACATAGATAGATAGATAAATAGATGTAGAGATACATAGATACGGTAGATAGATAGATGGATAGATAGATATCGGTGTGGAAGGGGCCTGGGATAGATGGATGGATAGATAGATACGGCAGATAGATGGATGGATAGATAGATAGATATGGTAGATAGATGACTGGATAGATAGATATCTGTGTGGAAGGAGCCTAGGATGGATGGATATTTATTTATTTATTTATTTATTTATTTATTTACTACATTTGTAGACCGCCCTTCTCAGCCCTAGGGCGACTCACGGCGATGTACAACATATAAAACCAGGTACAATTTCAACAAAGCAATTACATAACAACAATAAACAACAACACTATCAATAATACATTTATACTAAAGCATTCGCCACGTCTCATCGTTGAATCACAATCCGAATCTCATTGTCCATGTTCCATTCTAATCGTCATTGCCAATTGTTGCAGCACTTACACAAACGCCTTCTCAAAGAGCCACGTCTTTAGTTTCTTGCGGAATGTCATGAGGGAGGGCGCCACTCTGATGTCCACAGGGAGGGTGTTCCACAGCCGGGGGGCCACCACCGAGAAGGCCCTATCCCTAGTCCCCGCCAGGCGTGCCTGAGAGGCGGGCGGGATCGAGAGAAGGGCCTCCCCGGACGATCTCAAAGTCCTCGTGGGCTCATAGGCCGAGATGCGGTCAGACAGGTATTTTGGGCCGGAACCGTTTAGGGCTTTGTAGGCCAACACCAGCACCTTGAATTGGGCCCGGTAGCAAATCGGCAGCCAGTGGAGCTGGTACAGCAAGGGCGTTGTGTGCTCCCTGCGTCCCGCTTCCGTTAGTAACATGGCTGCCGAGCGCTGGACTAGCTAGATAGATAGATAGGTGGAAGGAGCCTAGAATAGGATAGATAGATACGGTAGATGGATGGATGGATAGATAGATAGATAGATAGATAGATAGATAGATAGATAGATATCTGTGTGGAAGGAGCTTAGGATGGATAGATAGATGGAGAGATAGATAGATACGGTAGATAGATGGATGGATGGATAGCTAGAT